GGTTTCCCTTCTCTTGAGGCTCACATTCCCAATCTCAAAGCAGAGAGGAAGGGTACAAATAAAGCATTCATTTTAGGGCAGCTGTTACACTGACGATGTAATGAATCATTTGCATTATGTAAATGATATGATTATGTAAATTATAGTAACATTCCAATAAAAGATATTGTGGGGCCTGCTGGAATTTAGAGCAAGGGTAGAACCGGGAGGCCAGAGATGTCTGTGGTGGAAGTCACTGGGGGCAGGTCATGGGTGTGGGGGAGAAGCAGCAGGAGGGTCTGTAAGGCTTTGGAGACTATTTGTGAGGTAGATGCACACAAACACATGCTCCAAACTACCCAGAATGCTCCTAGGTCTAAAATGGCGACACTTCTCTTCAAGAAAGAGACCAAAATCATGGGCAAGCCCCCCAGCCATGTCCAGCATCTCTAGGGCCTGAGTCTTCACTGCAGAAAATGTCACCAGGGCTAAAGGGGACGCTTGATGGGGCAGGGGAAAGGCACTGAGACATGCACATTGTATGTTTATGAAATTATAACTGCTTCAGACAATAACATATTCTTAATTTATTCTGTTTTTCTCCCTAAAAAACGACAACAAACACACTAGAAGATGTCACAGAGCAAAGCCTGGGTGAAACCCAAATTCTTAAGTGAACTGAGTCCCTCATCTCTAAGTTAACTGTTAAGCCCTGTTGGTTTCAGAATGTACATGCTTGTCTTACTCCTATGTTCTTCCTTTTTGGCTCAGCCAATCTGCATCAACTTCCATTTCAGCTGTTTCAGAATCCAGGTATTAATGACTATTAGCACTTTACTGGCATAGCAGCTATGAGCATCCCTGAGAAGTTGTCTTTCCTGCTCTTTGAATTTAGCAGGCCCCATGGATTGTCCTCAGGGCTCCTCTGCTGTGTCCAAAGGGCCACTCCCCCGGGATGTATATAGAAGTGGCATCTGGTCTCACTTAGTCTGGCCTTCTCCTCAGGGTAAACGAGCTCTTTATTGCATCACCTCAGAGGACGGGCAGTTCTGTCTTCTAACCCTTTCAGAACCATAAAAAGGGGGAAGAGGATAAAAAAAAACCCTAATAGTTAAAATAAATGGTTCAGATGGTTGGTAATTATTTGTGGATAGGAGGAAAGCTTTTAAATACAGGATTTTTAAGTGCCCATTGCAGGGTCCTATAGAGAAGCTTAGTATTATATAATAAAAGGGAGGCTAGAAGAGCAGTGTTTTTGTTACCAGGACATTAGGGGAAATACAGGAACAGAATAGGGAATCTTGACAAAAAGTTACAGTGTGTGTGAGCAACAACAGCCTAGCGCTGGGGCATGGAATAGATTTGGGGACACCGAGAAAACTCCATTGCTAAGCGCTGCTAAGTACTGTGTCTTCTGGGTATAAGACTGTTTTACTCCTCATGCTGGTTTTAAGTTTCTCATGAAAATGACCCTGAGCATGAACAGCAGTCAGAAATTCAGACAACTGAGCTGCCACTGTGCCTTGTTTTTAAGAGTCTTAAAATTTACTTTAGTAACGATCATTGCCATGCAACAGATGGGTATCCAGAGGAAGTGGTGTCCAGTAGTATTTTGATGTTGAGTTTTTCAGAGTGCTGCTGGCAGAAGAATCACCTGGGGGCAGGGGAAGGTCCAGAGTGAAGTGCAGTTTCCTGGGTTCTACTCCAGAGTCTAGTGAATTAAAATCTCTGGATTGTGCGTTTTTAATAAGCACCCTGGGCATTTCCAGTGCACACTGAAGTTGGAGGGACAACAGTTAAAGTTAAAAGAACCAAGTCCAAGCCCTGAGGACCCCAACTTTATCTTTTCCATTAATTCCTAACAGTGGAGAATGTAATTTTTCTAAAAATCACAAAACTCTAGCCTTGACATCTGGTCTGTAAACACAAAGTCCACCTTTAGGTAACGGCAAAGGATCGCTTGTTTCTGCACTTTGTTCCCATCTCAGGGAAATGCAGCGCTGCCGGCTGCCTGCCGTTCTGCCCACCTCAGCTCTGCAATGCACCTGGGCACATGGGCACAGACCATTGCTTTGCCGGTGAGCAAGCGGCACCTGCAGCCTGAAGGAGCAAAACAGCTTTACTTCCTCACACATCATTAGCAACAAGTACATTTGTTTCATCTTGGACATATCCAGATGAATATGACAGAAGACAAGTTATTTCCCACATAGGCCAGGAGGTGTCTATGCTGAAAACAGAGAAAGAAGCTAACACAGGCAAATCTGCTGTTGGGAGTGGATATTGCCATGTCCGTGCTCCTGGGCAGTCTTGTCCTGGGCTATTCTGTCTCATTACCTTGTCTTTCTGGGAGTGGTCATCTTTTCCTGGAATTCAGCAAAAGTAGAGAGCTTTGTTCATTTACACCATCCCCTAACTATGTCTCTTTGAAAAAATAACTTTCAAAAACCATCCTAAAATATCCTAAAAGGGTAAGAGCAAAGTGTACACGATCAATGTGGTTCGTGCACTGCAGGCCAAGCTTGCTGCAGAGAATGTTTGAGAAGTCCGGGCTCGGTGAACAGAAGAATCCTCTAGATTTAGGGTGACCATACCTTTTCCATAGATAACAACTGAGAACAAGAACAGAGCCAAGCATGTCCTTAAGTCTATTAACCAGGAGCTCAACAAAGATAGCACGTCTTTAGGTCCAACATGGAGTCTCTGAACCCACCGCTCCTTGCCAAGGTCTCACTCTCCCAATTTTATTTTATTTTTTTCCCAAGCCAAACTGTATCCAGCTTTATTAAACATACTTTTCAAAAACAACCATGGCATTTCAGGCAGCACACGGGTAGACAATTGTTAACAGTATACAAAAACTGTCACACTCCCTTCTTCAACACACTACCAAAATCAGAAAGCCACTGTAAAACTCAGTGAAGTCTTCATTTGATGCTCTGAACAGATAAAGTTTAGAGTGAGGGTTGACATTTTGCATTAACTATGTTGTTTCACAACTTTTCACAAGCCGACCCTGACTTTTGAGAAATGAAATGAAAATGACAGAATTATCGATCTGTAGGTCCACAATCTAAAACTGGAACTGTTGCTATGTTGTGGGGTGCCGTCTCAATGGTGACACTAGAAAGTCTGGATTAACTGACCTGTCCCAACAGGTCTCTGGGTTTAAGGGAGTCAAGTCAAGTTAAGGGAGAAAAGGACGTAAAATTGAATTTGAGTTTTTCCACACAACAAGGTGTTTGTGCCAAGGTTGCTAATGTGTGTCAACATCAAGGGATTCCTCCTCCCGGGAACCAAGAGGCAGTCTCTCAAAACTAGAGGGGAAAGGTGTTTTTCCCCATGTCAATCCAGCTTTGGAGACATTCTATTAGTAATATATGTCGTTTCCAAAAAAAAACAACAATTAAGTGTTATCTGTGTGCTAACAATATAGCTTTAAAAAGAACAAAATTCTGCATTTTTATAAAACTGGATAAAAATAGATTTAAAACTGTACAGCCACCAGAAGTACAGTTATCAAAAATGCACACACTTCACTTGGCACTTCCAGCGCCTTCTGCTTTCTGTGCCCAGTCTGTTTTGGCATCTCCGTTTTCTGCAGGTTATCCCCGTCCTTGCCAGCATCGGCTTTCCCCTTTCCCTTTGGGTACCTTTTCTCCCTTCTTTGCAGGGGCCTTTTTAGGCTTGGGCTCTGGCTTTGGAGGAGCAGGCTCAGCGGATAGCCTTGCGGACCTGCTCTGTTGTTTGTCCTTCCCCTTGGCTTTATCTCCTTCAGCATCCCCTTTCTCTTGGGCACGGTGGTGATGACAGTGGGATGCAGAAGCTGGATGTGGCAATGCGGCAATGTATGGGCTTTAGTCGGTCTGGGGGTCACTCTCGCTTCTTCTTCCTCACCCTCCCAATTTTTAATGGCCTGAGAATGAGGGGACTGTGGCTATAACCCAAGATCTTCACCATTAGGAACTGCTGTTGACTGAAGTACCTATCTGGTTTCTTGTAGAAAGTCTTATATTAACCATCACTTTCAGCTGATTTGTAGAGGTTTACAATTAACCTACAGGTTAAGTGTTTTGTAGTCAGGTGAGCAAACCCTTCAGTGGATCTATTCCCATTATGCAGGTAAGAAAACTAAGACCTGGAGACATTGATTTCTCCAAGGTCACCAGGTCTGGTAAGGGGGGAGACCAGAACTAGAAGTGGGTGACAGTGATGTTACTCGTTGCAACATGGACCTGTGATGGGCTCTTGTCAGTTTAGACTGGAGATGTAAAAAGCCTCAACTAAAATGGGCTATGGAGGGACACACTGGGGAGATTTTCGCGAGATGACGATCCACAGGACAATTAAGCCAAATGGGCATAGTGGCAATTGAGGAAGAGGTCAGTTTAACATTCCTAGGGTCGGTGGGAGGATAGGAATGGGGACAGAAATATTAAAAAAAAGGGGGGACCAGTCTTGGGAAATCATCTTAAGTTTAGAGATAAGTTGAGTTTGGGACATGAAAATGTCTAGTAGAGAGTTGCCTACCCATGACTGGGCCTCAGGGAGATGCCACTGCTAAGAGTACCCTTTGGGGGTGTCCGCACAAAGGTGGCAATGGCAATGGACACGTGGGAAGGGCAGGGCTGTCCTGGGAGGGCATATAGAGTGAGAGGGGGAAGAAGTAAGTTCCAGACACAAGGACACTGATGCTGAAGAGAATTGCAGGGGAGCCTGTGAGGAAAGTGAGAAGAAATGGTGAGGAAGCTCACAGAAAAACAGCAGGGACTCTCACGGCACCAGATAACTAGTCTACACTCCTGCTCTGAGCACCGAACTATCAGGCTGGGGTATGGGTTGATCCAAGTATCTGGAAGAAAGAATGCTTCCACACATAGACATCCATTTGCTCATTCATCACCAGAGACTTTGAGCCTGCTCATGCAGAGGAGCCTCACGTGCATAACCCCGAGTGGTGGGAAGGGTGACCGGGAGTCTAACGGAAGGGAATTCAGATGCGTTGTCCATCACATGCTTACCACGATGAGTGCGACCACAGACAGCGTGTAGTAAATCGAATCCCTCAGCAGGCACCAGGAGGATAGAGCCACAACCTGAAGGAAAAGGGGAAAGACAGTAAGAAACAGGACATCTGACTGTGCAAAGGAGAAAGCATGGCTGCTGGCGGCTCCGGCCAGTGATAAACCTGACACACAACCTAGTATTTCTGTCTCCTGTCCTGGGCCAGTCAATCTGCCAGTCAATATGAATATATTTAGGCATATTAGCCTGGACCTCCTGAAAAGCAGATGCCAAGATGGGGATAAACCTGCAATAATTTTATTAGGGGGAGAAGCCCATGAGCATAAATGGGGAAGGAGTCGGGGAGCTAGGAGTGCCGCCCAACATGACTCAGGTCAGGAGAGAGGAAAGGCTGGGTGAATGTGTCCCAAGCTGAAGGTTCAGGAAGACTGAGAGGGACATTTGGTGCACAGTCACCTGTCAGAGGAGGCGTGTCTCCCAGGAACTGGTCAGCCTCAGCATCCCTAATATCCCATAAGGGGATGGGATGAGCAATCTTACCCAGTGTCCTTGTCAACACTCTAACGTCTGCCACAGCCCATGCTCCTGTGTGGAATGGGCCCTGAGCGCCCATCAGAAGGGGCATCGGCCAGCCCGACTGGCAGTCACCTCCCGGCCCTCTCCTCTCATCTCTGTTATACGCTTGGCCTCCTTTGCATTTGACCCCTGGTTTGATCAGATTTTTTAAAGATCAGTTTGCATATTGCTCTGGAGAAAACGTTGTTCTTAGGCAGTTGGGAGGTGTCCCTTTACAGATATGATGGCTTTGCTGAGCTTATGCCGATATGCATGTTGCTGGAGGCTAAGGCAGCGCTGGCAGCTGTGTCCAGATTTCCTGCAAAAGGAGGCCCCTGGGTGTGACAAAGGCGGGGCTCTGTGCAGAGGAGATGATGGCGGATGGGAGGGAGCCCTGGATGCCTGGGTTAAGACCCTTATTCTGGAGGACGTGTTATTTCTCCTTGGTAAGTTCTTCAAAGTCTCTTTTTTGAGGAACACCTAGTATTTTTTTCTCTGCTTTCAGCAGTAGATACAGGTTGACAGACCCTCACAGAGAAGCTGGGGAAAGTCCACAATGCCATGTCAGAGGTGCTTCCTGGGCTGTCACTCATAACTCCCTCCTGCCTCCCTAAAAAAGTATCAACTACCCCATGGCCACAAGACATGTCTGGCTGCTTTGTCCTTGGCCTGGTAAGTAAAAAAGGACAAAGCAAATGTCAACACTCAGCTGGGCCAATGATACGCTGTACCAAAGACAATAGGAAAAAGGGATTCTGGGGACAAGGCAACCTTTGGTTCCTTTTCTCTCCCTGACTGCTGTGTCAGTCTATAAAGAAAAGATCAGGCAAAGTCAAACCAGAGACGGCTTTCTGGATTCAAATAACATGGAAGATATGACTTAAATAGAACCATAAATGAATAATGAGTCCAGTCTCTTTCCATTAACACATTCTTCCACTTGTTATATGGACATTTAGGTATTTTCTGTTGCTAATTTTGCCTCATTAGGTTTCGTATTTTCAGATCTAAATTACAGATGATGGGGTTGTCAAAAAAGAGGACTGGTGCTACAAAAATCACTTTAGAACAAATTAAAGTGTTTTTTACCCTTTTACCATTCTCTCCTTTTATCGTCAACTCTTAGTACCTATGGTCATCACTCACCAGCTACAAAATAAACTAGACTAGACTGTTCATTTTCCAGCAGGTCATAAAAGGTGGTGAATATTTACTAAATTTATTATAATTAGGTAAATGGACTTAAAACATGTGCCAAATATAAATTCTGAATTTCTTTAAAAAGTCAGTTGGGCTTTGAGTTAAAGAAGGCAGACTGAATACATACCATTACCTTTGCTCTTTTTCTTTATACCAAAACAAGATAATAATAAAAGGATTTAAAAAACAATAACAACAACAACAACAACAACAAAACAAGACATAAACCCACAAGAAAAAGAGAACAGAAAAGCAGATTAGAGTAACAAAATTTTGGAAGCTGAAAAGCAGAACTGGTTATTCAGCTGGCAGTGGGCTAAGCTCTAGAAGTGGGGATGAAGTTGGGCCTAAAAACGGAACTGAAAGACTGCTCAAGAATTTAATCCCCAGACTTTTCCCTCACTTCAAGCAGACTAATGACTGCATATTCTGCACCTTAAAAGAAAACAGGAGACCCGGCTGGCATTTGAAGAAGTTCTAAAAACAAGGGAGTGGAAATAATCAAATAAATAATTCACGAAAAACTTCCAGATGTTAGGGACGTGCATTTTCTGAGTGAGAGGGCCTTCTGAACGTCCAGCTCAATGAACAAAAAAAAAGATGTACACCAAGGCATATCATCATGAATTTTCAGAAGATGGGGACAATGGTACTAGAAACTGCCAGAGAGAGAGAGGGAGGGAGGGAGGGAGGGAGGGAGGGAGAGAGAGAGAGAGAGAGAGACAGAGAGAGACAGGATTTATATACAAGGATGAAAACCAGAGTGACATTTTATTTCTCAACAAAAGCACTGGAAGCTAGATGATAAAGGAGCAACACCTCCACAATTGGAGAGGAAAATTATTTCAACCCGAAATTATATGTCCGACCAAATTATTCATTAAAAATGAGAAAAATGAAAGCTTAATTGTCTCAAAAAATTTACTTCCTATGCACCCCTTCTCAAAAAACTACTGGAGAATGTGCTCTACAAAAATAAGGGAGTAAACCACTTGTGACATAATATTATATTACAATAAACAATTATACCACACAATAAGAATCTATACTAATAAGTGAAGAAAATTTCTAGAATGATGGTGAAGGAGGATTGTAAAACGACAGTAAAAGGAGATTCCAAACGTTTGAAACTTTTGGAGCAGGCTTTCCTCGTCAGGTTACAGCAGGTCAGCAGGTCTCAGAAGAAATGACACCAAAAGGACAAAATTTACGGAATATCTGATAATTTTAAACCCACAGAAAGGAGACTAGAGATCTCTGGAAATAGAACATAGAAAACTAACCAAACAAACAACAAAAAAGATAATTATGAACCACAGGGAAAACAGAGAGTGTACAGGAAAGGAAGATGAATGAATTATTATGTATTAATGGCTCAGCTATGAACAGTGATCACAGGGTCATAATAAACAAAACATCGATTACTGTCTAACTAAATTTATGACATAACTATTTGGGAAGAACGGGGGAATGGGCAGTACGAGTGGGTGGGGCTGAACAGAGATCTAAGTCCTCCTCTTTCATGCTTCGAAGTCACTGGAGAATGCTTGAAACTAAAAAATCAAGTAACTGCTCTCTAAGTATGTTATTTAGAGATACTGAGCAAATAGCAGGAACAACCAAACTAGTGTAAAGTAGTATCAGAAGAGTGGGAAACTGGCGCTGGTGGGACTGGAAGATGGCTGTCTTTCATAATGAGCCTTCTAGAACTGGTGGACTCTTTAATATAAAAATAAAAACAAAAATAAAAGGAAAGTATAATACAGATTATCTACTTAGATTTACTGCTGCATGAAATAACATTTTGCACTAGGCCTAAAATGTCAAATCTGGATGAAAGTGATATATTTTCTCTCTTTATAAATAGAATAGTTTTCAATGTCCAGACTATCATCAAATTTCAGCTCCAGATTGAGAGTCTACACTTAGCAAAACCATTTTTTTTTCTATAGAAGTGATGAACTGGGGGACAAGTAAGAAGGAGTCAAACCAGAGAATAATTTATTTCCACAGTCTAGAGGGAATTAAAGCATCATTGATGATTCTGCGATGTCTATGGTGAGAGCTGTGACCATGGTCTCATATCCATCTCTACCTTAACTTTCTGCAACCACCATTCAACATGACAGCAAATATTTCCTGTATTTTCTTATTTCTGGTTATGGCCCTTTCTTTTCTGCATAAAGAAGACCCTTTATCATTTCTTGTAAGGCCAGTTTTGTGGTTATAAACTCCTTTAGTTTTTGCTTGTCTGGGAAAATCTTTATCTTTCCTTCAATTCTGAATAACCTTCCCAGATATCGTATTTTAGGCTGTAAATGCCTTTCTTTCAGCACTTTAAATATTTCCTGTCACTCCCTTCTGCCCTGTAAAGTTGTTTCTGAATAATCTGCTGATAGCCTTGTGTGGTTTCCCTTGTATGTGACTTGTTTCATTCTTGCTGCCTTGGATTGTCTCTTTATCCTTCACTTTTGCCATTTTAACTACAACATGTCTTGGTGTGAGTCTCTTCGGGTTCATCTGAATTGGAACTCTGTGCTTCCTGGACCTGGATGTCTGTTTCCTTTCCCAGATCAGGAAAGTCTTCAGTCATTATTTCTTCAAACATTCTTTCTATCCCTTTCTCTTCTCCTTCTGGAAGCCATATAATTACAGAATTGTATACCTGAAATCTATTGTAACTTTGCTAACAATTGTCACCCCAATAAACTTTAATTTAAAAAAAGGAAATATTAGGGTGCTTGATGTTATCCCAGAGATCTCTTTTACTATCCTCATTTTTTAAAATTCTCTTTTCATTTTGCTTTACACTATTCTGTCTTAGAGGTCACTAAGCTGTTCTTCTGTATTAACCAATCTGCTGTCAATTCCTTCTAATGTACTCTTCATTTCAGTTATTGTATTCTTCATCTCTGATTGGTTCCTTATTACATTTGCTATCTCTTTGCTGAAGTGTTTTCTGAGTCCCTTTATTCTATTCTTAAGTTTGTTGGGCATCTTTATGATTTTTTTTAAAAAATTCTTTATCAGGCAAATCATTTGTCTCTATTTCATTAAGGTTTTTCTCTGGAGTTTTCTCTTGTTCCTTCATTTGGGGCATATTCTTCTGTCTCCTCATTTTGTTTGATTTCCTGTGCTTGTTCATGTGAGTTATATGGAATAGCTGTCTTTCCCAGTCTTAAAAAAGCGGGCTCTATGTAGACTGTGTGTCAGATAGTTTTGGCAGATCAGTTGTAGTGCCCAGTATGTCATATGGCCTAAAGGAATGGGTTCCAGGTGGGTTAGCCTGGTGTGTGCATGCTTCCTTACCCTTCTG